CAAACTACCGCCCCATCAGTTTGCTATCCCACATCTACAAGTTGTTCATGAAAATCATCAAGAACAGAATCAGTGGCACTCTGGATGAACATCAACCCCCCAGAGCAAGCAGCATACAGGAAAGGATTCTCCACTGCAGACCACCTGCATGCTACAGGACAAATACTCGAGAAAACCAACGAGTACCAACAACCACTGTTCATGGCATTTGTACATTACGAAAAGGCATTCGATTCCATCAAGCATGCCCCAGTATTCCAATCACTTGCGAAACACGGAGTACCAGGAAAGATCATAAACAGCATAAAGGAAACATACAGAGAAGGCACAGCACAAATAAGAACAGAAAAGCTGAGCGAAAAGATCAAGATAAAGAAAGGTGTCCGCCAAGGAGATACACTGTCACCTATCATGTTCACTGCTGCCATTGAAGAGATCTTCAAAAGAATACCATTGGAAAAGAGTAATGAACAACTTAAGATTCGCAGATGACATCATCTTGTTTGCAAACAAAGAGGAAGATCTCAAGAACTTTGACGAAACTGAATGAAGAAGGAAAGAAAGATGGTATGAAAATGAATAAGAAAAAAACCAAGATCATGTGCAATGACATCGCAAGGAGGAAGCAAAGAAGAGGGATCACAGTTGACGGAGAGAAGTTGGAGGAGGTGGAGGAGTACAAATACCTTGGAAAAATGTTAACACCAAGAAATGAAATCAGTGTTGAGGTCAATCAAAGAATCAATGTCGGATGGAGAAGATTCGGGCAATACAGTCACTTTCTAAAGGAGAAGAACATCCCAAACAGTTTGAAGAGGAAAATAATGGACACTGTCATTTTACCATCTATGACATACGGAGCAGAAACATGGGCGCTTACAAAACACCAATCAAGGAAGCTGGCAGTCACACAAAGGAGCATGGAGAGGAGCATACTAAATATCAGGCTAAAAGACAAGATCAGGAATGAAGTAATCAGAGAGAGAACCAGGGTGAAAGATGTCATCCAAACACCAAAAGAAATGAAAGGCAGATGGGCAGGCCATGTGGCAAGAATGGAAAACAACAGATGGGCCAAATTGACAACAGAATGGTACCCAAGAAACTGCACCAGAGGAAGAGGAAAGCCAAAGAGAAGATGGAGAGACGAGATCGAAGAGGAAACTGGAAAGACCTGGATGAGGAGAGCTAAAGACCGAATCGAGTGGAAGAAGTTGTGGAGGCCATCTGCCAGCAGTGGCGTGAACGGCTGATGATGATGATGATGATGAAGGTAATTGAATTAAATTATGTAGGCAAAACTTGTATCATCAAATAAATGAATAAGAGTCCCAACAGTCAGAATATTTTAACAGTCAATTTCCAATGAGAATACTTAATGCATCCAATTGTCAAAACAAAAAATCTCAAATAACCACACCTGTCAACACAAAAAATTGGCAAAAATCATATATGCTTTAAACAAAGCAACTACATCAAGTATAAAGGAGAAATTAAATGTTATAATATTTTACATATAAGATGTTAAAAAAAATGAGTACAACAACTTCAATGACTACAATAACTTCAACAGCTTGGATCTCAAAACAGCCACTGTAATAACCTGAAAGTAGTCAATTACTGTATTCAACTGTATTCAATAACTTGGTCCAAACAACTCAGCCCCTATTCAACCCCTAATTTAATTGTAAGCCTAACTTTGACCATAGCTCCCAACCCTAACCTTAGCCTTTACCTAAACCATTATATGGAACATCGTGCTGTCAAACTGTGAAGAGTGCTTGGCAACCAATGCATCTTGAAATTGAATTGGCTGTTGTCGAACACAATCTGATATAAATAGCTTGCACATAATAATCTTGGAATACATAAAATGTAAACTTAACATCTTCAACCTTCACATATTACAAATGGTAATAATGAAACAACAGTAATATGAGATCGACACAACATGCAAAAAATCACCATCAAATTTCACAATCCATGCAACCAACAACAAACACCATTTGTTAATTAACAACCCTTCGTAAACAAAAATTGTATAAAAGACTTTCATTCGCGCATTTGTGAATGTCAGCACGAAGTCGCAGCGAGCAAACGTCGCATCAAAGAGCGCGATCTTTATCATGAATTCATAATCTTAGCCTAAGCAAGTAAAAGATACGATAAACATCGCGTGTCAAAACGCAATAAATTGTTGCTTTGAAGGGTAAGTTTAAATTGAAATAAAAACCTCTCGAATGATTAGTCAGTCATTAAACAAAACTGTAATGAACTTTGATTACAAGAATTTGTATACGGAAATACGTAAACTCGTCAATCTATGTGCACAGCTGTTCAAGTCGCACATTTCAACATGTTGACAATTTTTGGTCGGCAGCGATACGTTTTCTATACAATAACTACAAAGTAGCATTCTCATTTCAAATGTTAAATAAGATTATCACACACACACACGTGTTAAAATGACTCTAACTTCGACCGTTTTAGAGAAAAACCGTCGTAAAGTATCATACCTAATAGCTGGTCGGGTTCCAAGCCGGACACATTGTCAAGTCCGCAAACAACGAAATAGTCAATGAGCCGTTCTCCCGCAGACGTTGGAGCGGTCATGGCGCTCTTCTTTATGTAACCCTTACTTTAAATAGAGAATACGCCATTTTTTAAGCTACATATCACTGTATGCAAAGTCTCGCATGCATCAAACATGCAAAGAAAAAATCGTTCTCGTTCAAATGTCATGAAGTCATAGACATGGTTTGATTGATCTCTTGCCACTCCAGCTTCGCGGAGGAAGGACTGTACACTGACCGACCATTGAACTGGACTATTATTTCACCGCTGGCGTTGTTAGATCATGTCAAACCAAACCCATTGAGTTCTAGAAGACCTGGAAACGTACGGTGGCCCATAAGGGCCATCACTTAAAAAAAGTCACAACACAAGTAAATGTAATCACAACACAAGTAAAATAATCACAACGCAAGTAAATAAAGTCACAACGCAAGTAAATAAAATCACAACACAAGTAAAATAATCACAACGCAAGTAAATAAAGTCACAACACAATTAAATATAGTCACAACACAAGTAAATATAATCACAACGCAAGTAAAATAATCACAACACAAGTAAATATAATCACAACGCAAGTAAAATATGAAATACTGGAAATTCTTTTTGTGAAGTGGAAACATTGTTGTGATATTTTGCAAAATGGCGCTTGTTTAAATTTGTTCCACGAAAACCAGACTTATTATAAATTATATTCAATATATTGCTTGATGGATAGCAAAAAATGTTTTGTTCAAACTGTGGTATAGAAAGTGTGGAAAATGCGAATTACTGTTATAAATGTGGCAACTCCTTCGCACCGATGCGCGAAAAACTTGAAGAATCTGCAAACACATGTTCTACGTCGAATTCTATAACTAGTGGGATCTCAGTATTATGTGCTAGCGGTACCCTTACTGGTACAACCCAGCCGCCTAAAACGTTAAGTTTTTACGATTTCAAGCGCCAGAAGGAAAGCGATAGGCGCAGCAGACTCGAGCCAAAGACCAAGAAACTCAAAGCAAATTCTGGTAAAGGAAAAGATAAGGAGCATGAAGTAAGCATAAATATTGGTTACATGAAGGTCGATAATGACGGAAATTTGAAAAGATGTCGGGGTAAAACTCTCCTGTAAAAGTTTTGCCAAGTGCGAAAAGAGAGAAATCTTAGAAAAGCAGTTAGAAAACATGCTAACCACGACAATAACATCCATGGCGAGTTGGAGCACGTCCTTTGAATGTAAACGGGAAGGAAATCACAAATTTGCCGGGAACTGAAAAGAGTTTGTGTTAAGCGAATACAGGGAAGATATAGGGAAGAATTATAATCGCTTAACACTTTTCATTGCACTAAAATCTGCATATATGTACACAGAGATTTCAAAATTAAAAAGAAGTTGTGATGATAGTGAACCAGAGACAATCGCAGATCTTTCTGATGAGATGTTTTTAGAAACTGATGATACAATTGGAATTGAACTCTCACCTTGTCCATCTTCAAGTCCATGTGAGCCATCAACTAGCTTGCATATTGCTACAAATCTCCCAATGAATACACCTCCCATATATAACTCCCAAAGTGCAAGTAACTATGTATCACGTAGCAAGGAGCTCAAATGTGAGTGCCCAACATGTCAACAATACTTTTCAATAGATGAAATAGCAGAGCATGCAGATATATGTTGTGACATATGGGTGGGAGCACTTCAATCTCAAAATACGGATAGTGAAAAGAACATTCGAAGAAAATCCTTATGTGGTGATAAACCAAGATAACACTACAAATGTGAAAGATAAGTTATTGGATATTAAAGCTGTAACATTGTCACCAAAGGCAGTAAGATTAAATGTTTGTAGAAAAATATATGGTGTGACTTCATTGAGTATAGATCAAGTGGTAAAGTGTCACCAACTGACAGTGTAAAGATAGTGTTTGTTGGAGAGTGTGCAATTGATGACGGGGCCAAAGAGAGTTTTTTCAGGTACTAATATTGTAAGACATATGTTTCTAGGGTTAATATGAGCACCCTGTTGATTTAAAATAAATATATTGTTCTGCTACACTTCAATTCCCTTTGCAGCTTATTTCCCATAATTTGTCTATCATGCATCAATCAATGTTGACAAGTTTGGTTTAAATATAGGATGGGGACAATTGAAAAAATATGATTAGATGTTAATTCTTTCATCAGAAATGTTGGAGCATATGGAAAGAAGACTGTTCTGTAATGGAAAACCTATTAATTCAACTGTCGCCATCATGAATGGAGACTTTCGTTTTGCTGGCGAGGTCATGGTGATGTCATTACTTCAAGGCGGACCAGCTTCATCTTTTATAAGTCCAGATGTTTACAAGTACATCACCAAACAGGCACTCACAACAGAAGGAATGCCCGACTCCAAGTACAAAAAAGCTGTTAAAAGGTATGCGCAACAAGATGGAGATTACCATATGCTTGATTATTACTCCTTGCTGTGGCATGATTTTGAAATAAGTCTATTTTTATTATATTCTCTGATGTCAGTAATGATTACTTTACACTTCTCCTTTTCAAAGATAAAGCAAGCTTGTGACGATGAAATGTTGAGGGAGATACTTGTCAGCGATGATATGATTGAAATGCTATCAGAGGCTGGATACACTGGTGTACCACATAAAGAGACAGTGCATACTGTTTCCAAAATTGCTCAGTAAGTACATTTTGAAAGTTAATGGAGATTAAAAAAACTATTCTTGTGCTGCTGGTTTATAAAGTCTAAGATTTATTTCTATTTTTAAAGGTCAATTTGCGTAATGGGCCACTTTTCATCAGTTCTTCCTCAAATTATGCAATTGCTTGAAGGCCTCAGCAGTTGTGGTCTTATAAATTATATGATAGAAAATCCAGAGTTGTGGAAGCCATTGTTCGATCCTTATAACGATTCGTTTAAACTTTCTGCTGATACTTTCCTCAATGAAATTATTCCAACATTCAGCAGTTCGCAGATTCACAAGGAAAAGGAGGTTGACGTGTACAAGATATTTTGCGACTATGTGCAAACCCTAGATACTGAAGGTTAGTTTGAATATATATGTTGTAAATTGGGTGCCAAATTGTATTATTGTATTTACGATGGAATTTTTTGAAAGTATCAAATAACGCGTAAAATTTATTGAAGTGATGTTTTCTAATCTGAAGTTGTGGTATAAAACAAAAATGGATACCTTGATTAGTTTGTTTATTCATTTTCAGTCTTAAATGTTTAAAATGTTTTAACAGGAGACGTATCCATATCAGCGTTTCTGAAGTGGTTATCGGGATGTAAGACTATTCCAGTTCTGGGTTTTCCAAAAAAATTTTCCGTAACGTTTGTACATGATTGCAAAGAAAATTGTAAATGTCGCCCCACAACATCAACATGCGATCTTCTGCTGAGAATTCCAGTTCATATAAGTAACATTAGTGAGATGGAGCAGATGACACAAATATAATACGAACTAAAATGAATTTAAGTTTTATAGCGTTAATAACTCTCATCTGTCCATCGTAACTTTGCTATAATTCTATAGATAAATTATGTTTTATATATAACAGATTATTGATGATCCGACTTCACCTGAAGGTGTTCAGCAAGAACGACGTATGAAGTTACTGTCGTAAATTAATAATATAGCCCTTGATAAAGGGTGGATGGTCAAAATTATAAATGTCATGGTTGTTCCAGACCAATTGGAATGAGTATGATCAATGAATTCTTGACTTGTTATTTCCTAATAACTCAAATATATTTATTTTCAAATTTCTTAGCTTAATAAATGTTATCTTTGTAGAAACTATTATAACAAAGTACATAATCCCTTTTTTCCGTGAAGCCCATGGATGCGTTCGTTCATGATGAAAGAGTCATATTGTATAAGGAGGCTCTCGTTCATCACGAGAGAGTTATGAGAAAGTTACGTTGTAAAGGTAATAAGTAAAAACGTATAAACATGCTTAGTGTTTGTTTAAGTTATAGTTCAAAAGGCAAAGTTGTTTGAACCTTTGAAGTATCCTTGGACGTTCTAGTTTTTTATGAGAAGAATTCTTGTAAAGAAAAAATAAATTTTGAAAACCAAAGAATCCGTTTTCGGTCCATGCCTCCAGATACCCCGAGATAGTTGAGCACTAGAGCGTCGCATGTTAACTAAGGGAACCACATAATCCTTGTTTGTTTTCCATGAAACATATGGATGGTTTGCTCGTGATACATGAGAAACAGTAAATGGGAGAGTTAAATCAGAAAGATATAAACCGATAAAATTGGTATAAAACTTGTTTAAGGTTGTCTTTAATTATAAGTGTCAGAAAAAGACAGGGTCGTAAGAAGTTAATTGAAACATTGCTTGGTTTGTTTTATGAGAAGAAAACAAAAAGATAAAATTCGAAAGCAAAAAACCCCGTTTTCGGTCCATGCTTCCCAATACCTTCTTAAGCGCAAGGCACTAGAACGCCGCATGTTAACGTTTCGGTAGGAGATTTCGGCCCCTCCACGCTATCCTACTTGGGAGATGCCAATAGCAAGCTTCCGCCCATCAGACCGGTACGCAGGGAGAGTGCGGTCGCCACCACCGAAGTGAGGGCCCTTAAGCCACTGCATACTATATCGCACTCAGCTTCCACTGCTACTTGAAATCTACTATATGAAGTTTTAGCTTTATATATATATACCAAAATTTAAAGGCCTACGAAAGTTGTGGGATGATTGTTATCGTTACTGCGCATGCCCAGATAGTTTCTTCGATAATTTGCGACTAAGTGAGTTAATTGACACAAATGTAGTGCAAGTACATATAGTTGGTCGTTGTCATGACTATGAACAATTACTCGAGTGGACTGCACATGCTCGAGCGCATGCGCAGACGATTTCTCTATTAAATTGTTACTAAGCATGCTATTTACTTCAAAATTGGTACTAGTAGATGCAGTTGGTCGTTGCCATGACCACGAACTTAAGTAGCTGGTCAAGTTGATTGCGCATGCTCAATAAGACTGCGCATGCGCAGATGATTTGTCTTAAAACGTGTGACTGAGCAAGCTAATTACTCCAAAATCGGTACTAGTACATCCAGTTGGTCGTTACCATGAGCTTGGAGAGTTTGTGGAGTTGACAACGCATGCTCAGATTCTCAATTAATTTGTGACAGAGCGAGCTCCGAAATTGGTGCTTGTACATGCGCTGAGCAAGTTTTCATTATATATTTTGGCATGCTTTTGTCTACTTAAGCTTGTTTTACAAATGCATGTGAAACTCGTCAACACTTTGTTACGGCACTCGTAATATCCGTGACAACGTTAAAATGTTTTTATTTTCTCTACAACTTTATATCTGCATATTGCATGTCATATCCAAGCTTTCCTTTGATTTGACGGAAATGGTTTTTATTCACTCTTACATCTTCTGCCTTTATAATTAGTCGATCTGTATTTCTAAACTAATATTTACAAATGCCTCAAGAGAATCTTTTTATTTTATTGGCTCTCTTCTACAAATACAATACCATGTCCGACTATTTGATTGCACGAATTTTGTAATTTGATCACTTTTTTTGACACATGTGTTTACCATGGGAAAGATGGATTGCTTAAATGTACGTAGTTGTTTAGACTAGTTGGATCCATAGTTATCCTGTAATGTATACTCTTGTGAAACACCAATGAGCATACGTAGTGTGTCTTCTTTAACCTCTATTCTTGTTCTCCACTTCATCATCTATCCATATTTGTTCTTTTTTAGTTCTCAGCTCAACGCAACCCTTGTCTGAAGTTCCTAAAGCCTTGATCTACCCAAGAAAGATCTCTGGTGGTAACATGTTAGGTATGGCTAGTGGTTGGTCATCGTCATTGAGCCTTGTGACACTGTTGAAAATATGGAAATATGAAGAAATTCATTTTCAGGGGAGGAGGGGTGGTATTCCAAATTTGTAAAATTTTTTGTTATGGAAAATGTGTTCAAATGCATAAATTATAGTTTTTTGATGAAAATATGGAAATATGAAGAAATTCGTTTTCAGGGGGGAGGGGTGGATTCACAATTTTGTATGATTTCTTATTTTTGTCGAAAATTTGTTCAAATGCATAAATTATAGTTTTTTGATGAAAATATGGAAACATTAAAAATTCATTTTCAAAAGGGATCCAATTTTGAAATTTTTTTGTTATTTTATTTTCATAAATTATAATTTTTGATGAAAATTGGAAATATGAAAAATTTTCAGGGATTGTATCTTTTGAAAATTTTTTATTTTAAAATTTTCAAATGCATAAATTATAGTTTTTGATGAAAATATGGAAATATGAAAAAATTTTCAAAAGGTGATATTTTGAAAAATTTTTTATTTCAAATTGTTCAAATCAAAAATTATAATTTATGATGAAAATATGGAAATATGAAGAAATTCGTTTTCAAAATTGGATACAATTTTGTAAAATTTAATTTTTCGAAAATGTGTTCAAATGCATAAATTATAGTTTTCATGAAAATATGGAAATATGAAAAATTTTTTCATTGGTATCATTTTAAAATTTTTTTATTTAAATGTTCATAAAAATTATAGTTTTGTTTGAAAATATGGAAATATGAAGAAAATTTTCAAAGGGTATCCCAATTTTGTAAAATTTTTTATTGGAAAATGTTTCAAATGCAAAAATTATAGTTTTTGATGAAAATATGGAAATATGAAGAAAAATTTTCAGGGGAGGGTAGAATTTTGTAAAATTTTTTCATATGGAAAATGTTCAAATGGAAAAATTATAGTTTTTGCAAAAATATGGAAATAACAAAAATTTCAAAAGGGATAATTTTGAAAAATTTTTTATTTAAAATTTTCATCAAAAATTATAATTTATGATGAAAATTTTATAAAAAAAAAAATTTCAAAATTGGGTGGTACTTTTGTAAAATTTTTAAAAAATGTTCAAATGCAAAATTATAGTTTTTGATGAAAATATGGAAATATGAAAAATTTTCAGGGGAGGGTGGTATCCCAATTTTGTAAAATTTTTCATATGGAAAATGTTTCATGCAAAAATTATAGTTTATGATGAAAATTTTATATGAAAAAAATTTACAAAAGGGTGGTATCCCAATTTTGAAAAAATTTTTCATTTTGAAATTTTGTTCAAAAATATAATTTATGTTTTGATGAAATTTTGGAAAAATAAGAAATTTTTCAAAATTGTGATATCCCAATTTTGAAAAATTTTTTTATATGTTTCATCAAAAATTATAGTTTATGATGAAATATATGGATAAAAAAAATTTCAAAATTGGGATGGTATCCCAATTTTGTAAAATTTTTTTGTTATGGAAAATGTGTTCAAATGCATAAATTATAATTTTTGATGAAAATATGGAAATATGAAGAAATTTTTCATTGGGGTGGTATCTCAATTGTAAAATTTTTTATTTAAAAATGTTCAAATGCATAAATTATAGTTTATGATGAAAATATGGAAATATGAAAAATTCATTTTCAAAAGGGATAATCCCAATTTTGTAAAATTTTTTTTTATTTCAAAAATTTCATCAAAAACATAATTTATGTTTTGAAAATTATGGAAATATGAAAAATTTTTCAGGGGAGATCATCTTTTGTAAAATTTTTTCATATTTCCATATGTTTCAAATGCATAAATTATAGTTTTGATGAAAATTTTCCATAAGAAAATTTTCAAAATTGGTACCCCCCTTTTGTAAAATTTTTTGTTATTTAAAATTTTCAAATGCAAAAATTATAATTTATGAAATTTGAAACATTTTCATAACAAAAATGGTCAAAATTGAATAATTTTTTGTTATGGAAAATTTTCAAATGCATAAATTATAATTTTGATGAAAATATGGAAATATGAAAAAAATTTTCAAATTGGGTAATCCCTTTTGTAAAATTTTTTTATTAAAATTTTCATCAAAAATTATAATTTATGATGAAAATTGGAAATAAAAAAAATTTCAAAATTGGGATGGTACCCTTTTGAAAATTTTTTCATATTTCCAAATTTTCATGCAAAAATTATAATTTATGATGAAAATTTTCAATATGAAGAAATTCATTTTGGGATCCATCTCCCCCTGAAAAAAATTTCTTATATTTGAATATGTGTTCATCAAAAATTATAATTTTGATGAAAATTGGAAATAAAAAAATTTTCAAAATTGGATATCAATTTTGAAAATGAATTTCTTCATATTTATATTTTCATCAAAAACTATAATTTATGATGAAAATTTCAAATAAAAAAAATTTTCAAAATTGGGATACCACTCCCCTGAAAAATTTATATTTCCAAATTTTCATCAAAAATTATAATTTTCATGAAAATTTTCCATAAAAAAATTTACAAAAGGATACCTTTTGTAAAATTTTCTTCATATTTCCATATTTTCATCAAAAACTATAATTTATGCATTTGAAACATTTTCCATAACAAAAATTTTACAAAATTGGGATACCACC